TTAAAGTTGGATCCAAAATCCAGGAAATGCAAATTCTTGGGGTATGCTGATGGAGTAAAGGGGTATCGCTTGTGGGATCCCACTGCCCGCAAAGTGATCATCAGTAGAGATGTTATCTTTGTAGAAGATAAACTACAAAGAAAAGAAGACGATGATAGCGCTGAAAATTCAGAGACTACTCAGATACATGTGGAAAAAGAGTTTGAACAAGGAGATTCTTCTGAAGCAAAACCAGCACATGATGAACAAAAACCAGAGAGTTCTGAAGCACCAACAACTCGTCAATCAGATCGTGTGAGAAGACGTCCCAATTGGCACTCAGATTATGTTATAGAAGGTAATATTGCATACTGCATTTTAACAGAGGACGGTGAGCCATCAACATACGAGGAGGCAATAAACAACTCATATGCTTCACTCTGGATGATGGTGATGCAAGAAGAAATTGAAGCCCTTCATAAAAATAATACATGGGACCTTGTGCCACTACCATAAGGAAGGAAGCCAATTGGTAACAAATGGGTCTTCAAAATCAAGCGAAATGGTGACGATCAAGTTGAGAGGTATCGTGCAAGACTGGTGGTCAAAGGATATGGTTAAAAAGAAGGTATTGATTTCAATGAAATATTTTCTCATGTGATTCGACTAACAATAATTCGAGTAGTTTTGGCAATGTGTGCTACATTGGACTTACATCTAGAGCAGCTAGATGTTAAAACAGCTTTTCTTCATGGAAATCTTGAAGAATAAATTTATATGCTTCAGCCTGAAGGTTTTGAAGAAAAAGAAAAGAAGAACTTGGTTTGCAGGTTGAACAAATCTCTTTACGGTCTAAAGCAGGCGCTGAGGTGTTGGTATAAGAGATTTGATTCTTTCATTATGTGCCTTGGATACAACAGACTTAATGCAGACCCTTGTGCTTATTTCAAGAGGTTTGGTGTTAACGATTTTGTTATTTTGCTGTTGTACGTGGATGATATGTTGGTTGCAGGACCCAACAAAGATCATATTGAAGAATTGAAGGCACAACTGGCTAGGGAATTTGAAATGAAGGACTTGGGATCAGCAAACAAGATTCTAGGGATGCAAATTCACCGAGACAGAAGTAATAGGAAGATTTGGCTTTCACAAAAGAATTACTTGAAGAAAATTTTGTCACGATTCATCATGCAAGATTGTAAGCCAATTTATACCCCTCTTCCTATTAACTTCAAATTATCCTCCAGTATGAGTCCTAGCAGTGAAGAAGAGAGGATGAAGATGTCTCGAGTACCGTATGCATCAGTAGTGGGAAGTTTGATGTTCGCTATGATATGCACAAGACTAGACATTGCACAAGCAGTGGGAGTGGTTAGTCGGTACATGGCGAATCCAGGCAAAGAGCATTGGAATACAGTAAAGTGGATCCTGAGATACATCAAAGGGACCTCAAATGTTGCATTATGTTACGGAGGATCAAACTTACTAATCAATGGATATGTAGATTCTGACTATGCAGGGGATTTGGATAAAAGCAAATCTACTACAGTATATGTGTTCAAAGTTATTGGTGGAGCTGTAAGCTGGGTTTCAAAATTACAGTCAGTTGTGGCTACATCCACAACAGAGGCAGAATATGTAGCAGCTACACAAGCCAGTAAAGAAGCAATTTAGTTGAAGATGCTATTGGAGGATATTGGGCACAATCAAGAGTACGTCTCTCTGTTTTGTGACAGTCAAAGCGCCTTGCATCTAGCAAGGAATCTAGCATTTCATTCAAGAACAAAGCACATACGATTTCAATACCATTTCATTCGTGAAAAGGTGGAAGAAGGAACGATAGATATGCAGAAGATCCATACCAAAGACAACATATCAGATTTCATGACGAAGGTGATCAATGCTGATAAATTTACTTGGTGTCGATCCTCTTGTGGCCTGTCAGAAACATAAGCAACATGATGGTATAAGGTAGAAAGAATGATGTGAAGATATGATTGTTTCAATCAAATCTTCAAGTAGGAGATTGTTAAAAATAAAAGCCTAAAACAATGGCTAGCAGCCGGCGGCTATTGATTCAAAGATGGCTGCAATTTTGGTTGAAATTCATGGATGGTAAAACTACACATTTAGTCATTGTACTTTTAGGGTATTTTCAAGATTAGTTCTTAAAGCTTCTACTATAAATACCCTAGCTCATTTAGCTTCAAAATCATCCTAAAACATTATAGCTTTCTTCCAATACTAGAGAGAATTTAGAGAGTTTCTTGAGAGTTGTTTTCTCTTTTTTATCAAGAGAGAATTATCATTGTTTTCTCCTTGGTAGATCGAGAGAAGTTGTAATTCCTATTTTCTCATAGTGAAATTCTTCTACCGTTGTCCGTGGTTTTTACCCTATATTATTTAGGGGGTTTCCACATAAATTTTGTGTCTCTTTTATCTTCATTTTTATTTTCTCAAATTATCAATTGCGATTTTGCTCTATCCGATAGCCGTCTTCCGCAACATATTTGTGTTGGACCATATGTAAATTTTAATTCAAAAAGCAGGTATGATTTTGGGTCAAGTGAAACCTCTCTAAATTTGTATTGATTTGGACGATAGATGGATGATTATATACTTGATTAAGGTAGGATCAACGAAAACCTAATCTAACGTGACATATGTCTATCTGTAAATAAATACATGTAATTCATTATATCTCATAAATCTTATATATATATATATATATGTGCGCGCGAGCGCATGTTGAAAATACTCATATATATATATATATATATATATATATATATATATATATATATATATATTATTGTAAGAACTATCATCTTAGTCTAACCATCAAATAATTTTTAACAATTAGAATTATAATAAAATATATTATAATTATTAATTATTTTTTATTAAAATGGGATAAGTACATAGTATCTATTAAAAAATGAATCTCAATCACTTGGTATTTCTATTACTCGCATATGTGACATTAATAAATAACAACAATTATTTTACCACCAAAATCGTTGATTTGTGCTATTAAAAAATTTAAATTAATATATATGATTGATTAATTTTAATTACTACAATATATCATTATTTATATCTATATCTTAAAAAAATTATTATTTCATATAATAAAAGTAACCTAAAAATAACCTAAATTTTGAAATTCCTCTCAATAGATTTAATTATAACCACTCAAATTAGTTTAAACAAATAATTTAAAATGTCATGAACTTAAATTAAAATTGAAAATAATATAAATTAACCCGATCCTACTTAAACTAAACCACGGAAATCAACTAAAACTTGGGATGCACGGTGTTGATGAAGCTAGACTTGGGCCCGGCCACGAAGACCAAGATTGGTCTATAAAAGTAGAGTCGTCCGCATCCGTCCTGACCTTGCATTCTTCAGTCTATGGTTATTCTGATTTTGGGTAATGGAGAGAGAGCTTGTGGATTTGTTTGAGGCCGCCAGTACAGCCGCTGATTTGGCCATCTCCAATGCTGTTTCCTCCAACGGCCCCGAAGTCTCAAGATGCGTCGACGCCTTGAACCTGCTCAAGGCTTTTCCCGTCACTTAGGCATTCTTCTTTCTACTAAGGTTTGTTACTTCCCTAAATTAATGTTTTATATGTTGCAATTAAAATTTCGATGAACGGATAATTTTATGTAAGGGTTTATTTTCTTTCTGAGTTTATCGTTATTAATTTCATGTAGCATAGTGTTGAACCAAAAATAAAATAAAGAATCGAATGACAGTTAAATTCCACTGTTTCTCGTACTAAATACAAGAATTCTTGAATGTATTATGGTTTTATCAAAGTAAGGCTCCCATGCTTTAGTATGATTTTGACTGCTGATATTCAATGAGTGATAGAGAAATGGATGAATGGGAAGTTGGGGGAAATATTGTAGTAATATTTTTCAAACTTGTTCTCCTTTCTTCGTGTTTTGAATTGATGGGAACATAACCATCACATTCTGTTTCTTCTTGCTTTTCATTTTACAAAGGTTGGGAAAAGGCTTCGACGTCTCACGGTGCATCCCAGGGAGAAGATCCATACAGTGGCTTCCAACTTACTTGAGTCGTGGAAAAAAACTTCTTCTTCAAGAGATTGCCAAGAGAAAGAAAAATGGCACCTTCCAGATTCACAAAACGTCTAAAGCCATTCCCACTAAGCCCATCAATGTTGTGGAAAAGGCAGTAACTACAATGGCGACTGGTAAGATTAACAAGATTTATATCGATGAGAGATCAAATGCAAAGAGTGCTCCGAAGCAGATGTCATTGATCAGAAAGTCTAAAGGCATTCCCACTAAGCCCGTCAAACTTGGGGAAAATGAAGCAAATGGAAATACTACAATGGCTGACAAGACTGCGACTGGTGAGATTAACAAGATTAATATTGAGCAGAGATCAAATGCAAAGAGTGCTCCAAAGCTGAATCCATTGCTCAAAAGTTAATCAAATCCGGAAGATTCTTTTAGAGGCATTTTCTATCGTTGCTGATGAGATTGACGATGAAGAGATGTTGAATCAAGTGAATGCTTGTGATCCCATCCAGGTTACGTTAAGTGTAGAAACTGCCATGTTTTTGACGTTGGGTAAAACATATGGCACACAGCAGCATAAGTACAGTGCAATAATGTCCAACTTGACGGATCCAAATAATCCAGATTTAAGGAGGAAGGTTCTTCTGGGAGAAATAAAGCCGGGATCGCTTATTAGTATGACCCCTGTGTATCAATCCTTGTGGTCAACGGACGACTATATCTATTCAAAGAATTAGGTCATTTTCATTATATTTTGTCCTTTTTGCCATTTAATGAAATTTTTCATCAATTTTTTTGCCATTCGTTGTTGTAATCACCTTGGGTAAATGACTGAAAGAAGTATAAGATTTATAGTAAAAGATGAACATGCCATGCCTATTAACAAGAATATGATTTACCACTATAATGAGATATTATATTGTAGCATTTGCTTTGAAAATGACAATAAAGATAGCAAGAAGGTCTTTAATCCTTATTTTCTCTAACAATTTGAGAAGCATTGGATGGGGTTGAACTCTGCCATGGGTTTTCATCATCTCTAATTTCCTGAAGAATATTTGAAAAAATAGAGATAAAGAGAAAGAAATAATACGTGGAATTGCGGTGTCACTTAAAACAACACTTACCAGCGAATGAATCTCGTTATTGTTCCAACCACCCCGTTGTTTTTCCCTAAGTGATTTTAATGGAGATATCCTCTGTTTCAAAACATGGAAATAGAAACAATGAATTGTTGTTTAACATGTTTGAGAAAATGCTTGAATGAATTACCATGCAATAGGATTTGAGCTCTTTGAGTCTGAAGAGCCTATCAACTTGGACCTCCAGGTGTCTCTGAGTCTGGTCTCTCTCTTGGATCTCCTTCATTTGTAAAAGCAACACAGCATCCCTCTCTTTCAACAACTTCTCCGTATTCTCCTTGTCCAATCTAAGCCGCTCCATCTTCTTCCTGAAGGCACTGAGCTTCTCCGGCAACGACTCCGTCTCCATCTTCTCAGTGGCGGTGGGATATTGATGGTTCAAGTTCCGGTCGTTGGAATTGAACACCCAATACTCTTGCTTGGGATTCGACAACAGACACTGTCAGTGGCAGCAGCATTATTATTAGTAGTATTGCCGAGTGGGTGGAGAGGCATGCGTCGGGTGAGATGAAAACGAGCCGTCGCCATTGCTAGAAATATGGGATTTTGATTTGACAAGAGAAACAACAAATAGCCGACGCAGGCAAGCCAATAGCTACAAAAAAAAAAAAAAATTAGAGACACTGATAAAATTAACACTATGAATTTGAATACTAACAATTAACAAACTAACGGCTACTATTTTCCTCTTTTTTTGCAGGAAAAATAATAATTAAAATTATTAAAAACATAACTTTTATTTAGAATATAGTTTGATTATAGGACATGAAATCGAAGAACAAAACTTGAATTCGGATAATAAAATATGTTAAAGGAATTGTTAGATGATTATCATTCATGTGTTGGGTGGATGGTAATCAAGGGAGTGAGCAAAAGAACAGAGGAGTTGGTGAGATTCAGAGTTAGAAATTTAAATGGACGTGAAGACAAAATCCATGATGGTGAGATGTCTCACTATGTTCTCTTGGGTTCTGCAAGCTTATAAAGAATAGCACTAAAAATAACGGAAAATAAAATTATTAATGATATTATTTGTTTATAATATCACTTGTTTCTCAAGTAATTTTATATTATCCTAATAACATGATAGTTTTACTTCATTCTTAATGATTTTGATCTGTTTTTATGGACTTCAATCTACTTTTTATTAAAATAAAACGAAAATATAAGATGAATGGTATATTTTGAGCAATGCTAGAAATAAAATCATTGACTTATTCTTATCACAACTATGCATACAAAATTCATTTCTTATGCATCTCACATTGTTTAAACTATAAACGTTTTATTTCAATATGTTGGGAAGATTCTTCACTTTTTTCATTGTATAATATTTTCAACCTCTCTAGATTTATGGGTTGAAAATAAGGATGGATATTTGAACTCGAATCATACATGTTTTTATTCGAGTCAATCTTATAAAATCATTTTTTTAAAAGAGTTCATGGATCAAAAAAAAATTTGAAGGATAAGACCGGCCAGTGGGATTCAACCCCAAAATTTTTAATGTTAAATTGCATAATCATTTGATCAAGGCCCTGGTGTGGGTGGCTGTTAAAGATATCAGCTTTGTGCTGATTGGGAAGGGGCGATTTTTATTAACATCCACACAAATTAAATCCTTCTAAGCCGATAAAACTATGCAACACTCGTGGAAAAAGACCAGCCTCTGGCCCTTGTGCTGACGCTTTAATTCTAAACACAGACAGAGATCGAGAATTAACCACTATGGCTTCCTTGCTGTGTCCAACTTCAGCTACGCTTCAGCAGAATCATAGGATTCTTTGCTTCTCTCCTCTCAAGTCTATTTCCCAAGTTAACCATTTTTCCTTCACAAAGAGTCTTAAAAGTACACCAGGAAGATGCAGTGCGTTCCCAGATGATTTGTTGGAGCAGTCTTTGTCTCAATTCCCCATCATCAAATCCGAGTTGGACACGGTTACCGGTGAACTAACGGATGTGCAGAAATGGGGTTTCATTGTTTTTGCAGGTCTCACATGGATTTATTTGACTGCAAGGCCCGGTGTTCTTGTAGGTGCCATTGATGCTTACCTTCTTGCTCCTCTTCAACTAGGATTTGACAACTTGACTGGCAGGAGGAGCTTGAAGAGGAGTGATTTTCTGGTTGGGGATAAGCTGGGGGAAGGGTCTTTTGGTATTGTTTATTCTGGTGTGATTGTTCCCAAGAATGCTTCACCTGAAGAAAGAGTTCCAAAAAGAGGAAAAGCAAAAACAGCGCTGGTTAATGATGATAGGTTTAAAGAAAAGGTCATTCTCAAAAAGGTAACTGCTCTGATGATCATATTTCTGCATGCATATTTGAATATATCTATAACTTTGATGCTTTGGGAATCTGCAGGTTAAAGTTGGTGTGCAAGGAGCTGAAGAATTTGGAGATTATGAAGAATGGTTTAATTACAGGCTTTCAAGAGCAGCCCCTGAGACATGTGCTGAGTTCCTAGGAAGTTTTGTTGCTGATCAAAACAATTCACAGTTCATCAAGGGTGGGAAGTGGCTTGTTTGGAAATTTGAGGTACTATAGCCAGTTATAAACATGAAAATTTCATCTAGTTTCCTAGTTTCAAGTCATAATCAACTCTACTTAGATTAAATGATACTGGGGATGGTTTTATGCAGTAAAGTTGTATTGCCTATATGATGTATCTACTGGTTAAGTCTTCCTGAAACTTGTATTGTACCTTAGGTTAACGTTTCTTTATCAATCTAAATGGATGCAGATTATTGAACAATTATCAGTTCATGTAAGGATTCTTCTTCTCGGCTCGGCACTAATTGTTTAAGAATTTCATTGTGACAGGGAGATCGCACCCTTGCTGATTACTTGAAAGATCGCAGCTTCCCTTTAAACATAGAGTCTGTCATGTTTGGACGTGTACTGCAAGGAGTGGAATCTGTTAAACGGAATGCATTGATCATCAAGCAAATAATGCGACAGATTATTACTTCGCTTAAGAAAATTCATGACACAGGTATTGTTCACCGTGATGTAAAGCCGGCCAACATCGTGGTGACGAAGCGCGGACGGATCAAACTCATAGATTTTGGGGCAGCAACAGACCTTCGCATTGGCAAGAACTATGTGCCAAACCGTACGCTGCTTGATCCCGACTATTGTCCCCCTGAGTTATATGTCCTACCAGAGGAAACTCCAAGTCCTCCTCCGGAACCAATTGCTGCTCTTCTTTCTCCGATCTTGTGGCAGGTACAAGAATCTTCCTCTCTCGTTTCCTTTATGGCGATGAATGTATCGATGATCTAATGCTTCCCGGAGCTACATATATTTGCAAAGTGCAGATTATAATCTGTAATCATTGTTGCAGCTCAACAGTCCTGATCTATTTGATATGTATTCTGCCGGCATCGCGCTCCTACAAATGGCAATACCTTCCCTAAGATCAGAAGCATATTTAAAGAACTTTAATTCAGAAATAAAAGCAGTTCAATATGACTTGAACAAATGGAGGGAGAGAACACGGTTAAGGCCGGATTTGACAATCTTGGATCTTGAGTCTGGTCGAGGATGGGACCTAGCGACAAAACTGATTTCACAAAGAGGTTTCCTTAGAAGGGGACGTTTATCTGCTGCTGCTGCTTGAGGCATCCTTACTTTTTGTTGGGTGGTGACCAGGCGGCCGCTGTTCTTTCAAAATTCGGCTTTTAACTAACGTAATGTGCCTCTGGCGGAGTGAGTAAATCTTTGCGCTTTCGAGATACTTCCATTATTATTTCTTTTGATCCTTGCCAGCCTTCTCCACAAGCTGCTCAATGCATTCAAAATGAACTTACACTTTTGACATACCCTGCAGCTGTTACAATTACACCATTGATATTATTTCTAATAGCTGATTCGATATCCGAAGTCGTACATTTTCATTTTTAAATTGGAAATTTGTTTTATTCAATCAATGTCAGAACATGGTTCATGTAGTCTATTCCATCGGGGAACAGCTGCCATAAGAGGCTCCCTGCCCCACTCCCGCCGTTCTTTGTCAAGTTTAAGAGTGTCTTATATATACACCGCGCTAATAAGGGTGTCTTGGAATGATGAGTTGTAGCCAGTGTCTTTCACAGATGCACCGAACTTGGAGAAGATAACCGGCATCCCTATGTATTTCTCTGCATCTTCCATGTGTGCTTCCATCCATGATGTTGTAAATTGGAGATGAACATAGGAAATATTTTGTGAAATCCTTCACAAATCAATTAGATCATCTATCAAGAAGATGCTGTACACATAAACATGAATCCAAAACCGAGTGATAAGCTTTACCAGGAATCCTCATAAATGTGAACCGATGCAAAATCAATGCCAAGACCCTGATGGTTTCTTATAAAGTCAGTTCCAACTTGAGTTGCATATGAATTCAGGTTGAACTGAGTCCTTGCAGGTGCTAAGAGGCGTAAAATCCATCTACTCTGATTTCAACCAACTGTTTTGCATCGAGGCTCTTCAAGCATTCTGCCACTTCTGCTATCCATGACTAAAACACGATACCAACAGTAAAAATTTCGTGTCTTCAGAATGTAAATCAATATGGTCATATGCAGAACTAGTTTTACCATGACAAACCAATCTGCAGTGTATCCCTGGAGCTGCATCGAGGTTCGTTCGTAAGTTCCCAAGCGAAAATTGTCGGATCATTCTTGTAAGTTATGTTTGTGAATGTATTAACTTAGCACTGCCTACATTGTCAAATAATAAATAAACTAACAGACATAAACAGAGTTGATCTGCAAATCCAACTGGCAAAAGTGACCCAAATTTTGGAGGAAAGTCATGAAAAAGACGAATGAAAGAATGAAACTTATCGCGCTAGTATCCATGGCACTAAAAACTGACCCAAAAGCTAAACTTTGGCAATACGTATATATACATGATCTCGTACGGAACAATGTTTATCCAAATACAACACTAATCGTAATTGTTAATGGATATGCCTGAAATTTTGAAACAAGAGTATGGAAGATTGCATAATAAGTTTCTAGCTTCGATGCTAAGATTACAAAATTCTTGCTTTGGTCTGCCACCCATTATCTGCCTTCCCTTCGAATTGCAAATAGTGAGCGCTAGGAATTTAAAAGTGGAAAACAAATAATATGATATCAACATAAAAAAGAATATATATGTTCAAAATCTTTCTTAACCAGTAGCAATGTACAACAATTTACAAATGTAATTGCTCGCTCAAGTACTCTGGAGAGAATAACATTCTCTTTTACCAATGAGATCACTCAATGAGTTCTCCTAAGATGCAATTCTTAAAACTTGCATTGCATGTGACCAAAATGTACATATAATTACTGAAATTTGTATTCTTGAAGCAATGTCAACTAAACCATTATCAAAGTTTTTTATTTGGTCAAAATAACTTGCCCCTTATTTGGTGGTGATCTTGGTTATGTTCCATATCTGAAGTTACATCTATGTTAGCGGTTCAATCGCCATTTGCCCTATGTCATATGCCATGGCCATAAAAAAATTCCATAAAGCAAAGCTTTTATGATTAAACCAAGAGTGAAAGTTCAATTTCTCTGTGATACAAGATCAAACTTTAGAAACAACATTGTTTTAAGGACGAGAGACAGCCACAAATCTTAAATATAGATCTAAGACGAACATGGAAAATACCAACTAAAAAAACACCTTCAGTTTCTTGATAATTACCCTTACCCTGCACTTCATGTTGTCCATTTTCAATGTACGAAATGTTTCGGACTGCATATACACAATGCTTCATATGGCTTTCATAGAATGGCAACAAAAGCCACCTTTCTTATAACAATAACCCTACCTTGCCTTGCAAGATATCAATTTCCAGCATTGAGCAGTGTAGATCTGAAGCACTTCAACATTGAACGAAACAAGGGTTTTGACAGCCACTTCAACATTGATCAAAACAAAGGTTTCACACCAGTTACAATGCGTGCAAAGTATAAAAGAATGTCCATATCCTCCCACTCAAAGCATGAACAAAATGACAAGTTCCTTTAGGAAAACACCACCTCCCTTCCCATAAGAAAACATCACTTTGTTTGACACATTTGACAACATACAAAAGCCAATAGGTATTACACAATGATCACTGTCATCCCATAGCGTACTTCTGGGTCCAGCTGCGTGCAGTCGCTTCATACTTGGACCGATCAGTCTTGTACATGTGAGAAATCTCTGGAACAAGTGGGTCGTCGGGGTTTGGATCAGTCAGCAATGAACAGATTGAGAGCAGAACCTGTTTTGCACCAGTGTTAGTTTTGTTGACAATGTTTATACATTATACTATTTTAACCATGATATTAGCAGGAGTAAGGACAGACCTTGGAAATGGTTAGTGCAGGGCTCCATTGTTCTTTTAGGATATCAAGACAAATGCTCCCGTTGCTGTTGATGTTTGGATGGAAGACCTTGGTCCTAAATGCAACCTATACAACAGAACAGCATTGTACATGAAAAGAGCGTATAGTGTGTCACACGAACAATCATCAACACTAGAGTAAAACATCGCGGGTGAAGTAAATTACCTTAGGAGGCTTGAAAGGTAGTCCGGAGGAAAATGAATCGTAACTAAAAATACACCTCCAGCATAAGGGCTATCGAAGGGCCCATGATTGTTGCTTGCCAATGAAACATGTCTTCAGCTACAGGACCTATTACCAAAAAAAACATCCAAAGTTTACCAAAATGACATCCATTGATGCACAAGTCTAAGTTCAGATAATAATAATGAACAGTCTGAATCAGATCATAATTCTAGTATAGGAACCGAAAAGCTTGCCGATTAAATCAAAATCAAGTTGGAAGGCATAAAGACCACATGAAGATCAAGGCCTAAGGAAGGGATTTGCTCATTTTTCATGATGAAAACCTTCATTTTCAGCAATAAGCAGCCGGAACGTATATAAGGGCAAACGAGCTAAAGCAAATACATGGAGTCAAGTTTGGAGCTTTAGGGTTTTAAATTTTTAATCGATTTATTCATAAGCTAAAACTAAGTACGCAGTTAAATAAATGAAAAAGGTAGGGTAAGCAACACAAACAATGAGATCAAAGTATGTTATTGTTGGTAAAGATATATTGACGTTAGGCGGTAGAAGATGAAATGTTACCAGCACTGCAAGAAGTTGGTGGATCTTTCTGCAAATCCTTGAGTTCCTTCAAAATCCGCTTTGAAGCCATGACGCTCGAACAGCAAAGAACGCAGCAGAACAGAGGACAAGACAAAATTCTTTCTAAATGGACAGGAGCCTGGAGAGAGAGATAAAACAAGAAACGAAAACAAAGCTAAAAAGAGAGAAGGGAAGAACACGTTAGAAAAGAAAAAGCTTTGAATTCAAGGATCAAACTTTGAAGGCAGAGAGATCCCTATCCTCCTCTCCACCAGCAAATCCCTTGAAGCTTCAAACTAAGACACAGAGAGAGCAATTTTGCAATTAGGGCTTCCGAAGCTTATTATTCTTCCACAGATATCAGAATCTGACGGTCATGTCCCCACTCAATAATTCAGCAACGAAGCTATATTACTTTTTGATTATGGCTTAAATATATATTTGGCCTCTGAACTAACACTTTTATTTCATATTGATCCTTGGATTTTTTTTCTACCCCCGAATTTGTATTTCGTTGACCTTATTAATTTTTTTACGTTAAATAGATGATGACGTGACAATTTGGTATTATATTTTAAAGTTAAAAAATATATAAATGATTTTAGAAAGCAAAATTTCAAAATAAATAAAGAAAATATTGTGAAAACTACATGCAAATCAGGTTTTTTTAATACTCTTTTAAAATTATATTATCCACAATTTGCAGCATTCACAGATGCTACGTTCTGATTGGTTCTTAGTTACACGTCATTTAGAAACAACCTGTTAAAAAAAGACTAATAGGTATAATAGAAAACGAGTTCTTTATTTTAAACATAACAGAATAGAGAGAACCGGGATGATAAGAATCTAATCTCTGGATCCACCTACACCCCAATCATGGTCTGCAGCGAGAAGTGTGGCCCCTCCACAGCCACAGCCACATGATCTGGGGAGCAGTCAACATCGTCAGTCGCCACAGGCCTTTTAATCAATTCAAGCCTATGTGGATGTCTTGGTTTTGCTCAAACCACCTTATCCTTAAAAATCAAAACAAATTTAGCTATTCAAAGGTTCCGATTCCCTCCATGGCGATGACGACAACAACAAACACGCTAAAACTATGTTTGGCTATTTGCAGGCAATCAAATGAGCAATACAAGACCAATTAATTACATATCCAATATTATTATTTTTGTATAAACACCTGCTACAGATTTCTACACTCTTGCAGAATAACCCAATATTTATTTATAAGAGACAAGATTATAGGCATCAAAATAGATGGGGAATTAAGCAAAAGATATTATAACAGGCCAAAAGGTTCAGGCAGAGGCACAAATCCACTATCAGAGATGGAAAATCGTTCAGATGTATCATCGATACTATGCAACCAGTTCGTATTCTTCAAGTCCTCTTTTAGCAATATAACATCATATCGGCTAATCTCATCTATGTCCAACTCGTTTAATTTGGTAGAGCATCTCCTGTCATGGGAATTACTTCCATTCTCTGCAGCTCTGGTAATACTATTTCCATTCTCAGACAAGTCTCCGTTTTTTAACCTACTAGGGCCTCTGTTGCAATATTCCGAGTCTGGAGCACTTAAGGAACGATGAGATTGGGGTTTAGCAGAACCAGATTGAATGCTCTGAGGAAACAGAGTTGTGCTTGTAAAGGACCGAGTGTTCCCTGTTCCATTTCTCACGTCCTGCATTGGAGATTATGGATGGTGTTAAGATTATTATACATCATAGAGTACATATATCCCAGGGAAGTAAGAACACTTTTTATTAACATACATGATTCAGTCTTTCACTAGGGCAGAATCATCTATCGGAAAGGTCACAAACAATTCCAACTGTTAAACATACGATTGTAACTCCCAGCTATTAACCAGAAATCCAGATTCAAATTCGAGACACTGACAAGTGACAACTTCTTATAAAACTTTTGGATCATATAGAAGTTATCTATAAAAAAAAATATTTGATTTGAGGAGAAAACCAACAATTACTATCTACTTGTATGATACTATTCCTACCCCTTGGCCACATTTAAATTGCTTAGCACATGCTTAAGAAAAGAAAAGGTTCTAGAACACATCAAATGGCTAACATTTGGAACAGGCAGATCTTCATAGGAATTAACAGAATCATTCAATAAAAAAAGTAAGGGGGTTGGCATACCATTTGCCTAATAGCCATATCCGGTGATTTTTTTGAGATGGTCCTCCCAGATCCCGGGCTATCTGCAGTAGTTGTTGAAAACTTTAAATGTTTCCGCGTAGCTAAATCGGACACAGGTGTGTTCTTCCGTGACTCAGGTATGTCAGATGCATGCCCATTGGAATGAACATGAGTTCTTCCATGGGGTTCTGCGAGTCTTCCCCTTGTCACAAATGGTGATGAATGTCTTCTTGCATATTTGTAGCGTCTTGGTTTGCCTTCATGGTGAAAAAACTACCAGTCCGAGACCTTCCAGCAGAGATTGGCCTATCAGGAAAAGTTGTTCTAAGGTTTGCTGGTGTGTCGAGTAGAAAGTCAGGGAGCCCAACTGGATGTTGTAAGGGCCGGACTTTTGGACCTGGGGAGCTTGTTCGGGATGCTGGAGCTGCACTGTGGCCATTTAAAACAATGCGCCTAGCAGAAGGTGAAGCACTGGATTCAGAAGATAGAGAATTCCAACGTGTCGGAGTTGTTGGGCGAGAATTTGAACGAACATTTGTTAAGTTCAAGTTTGCATGGATTCGTGGCCTGGAAGTTGGAGTTGACGCCCTTGAACTTTGTGAGGGTCTGTTCTTGTCAATGTAAGAGCCATTTGGAGAGGAACGAACTTTGGAAGGGTTAAGCAACGTGATGATGGGCACGGAGATGGGGTTGAAGGTCTTGCTGTAGAAGGCGAGCAAGTAATAGGAGAGGATGGTCTAGCGTATGATGATACAGAAGCCGAGCTTGTATTGAGAATTGAATTGCCCCTATTTGAGGAATAGTTACTACATGAAGAAACAGAAGGCCGAGTTACTGGACTGCGTCTGGTGGGTTTTAAGCTCTCAGATTGTGAAACTGAAAACTGAAACAGAGAGAGATTAGACATAAATTAGTTTTTGAAAACTTCGTGGGGCTGAGGCATATACATTTATCTCTAAAGATATGCATACCCTTGAAGCCTTTGTGGTTGAAACTGTTCCAACTTTGAAATTCCTTCTTGGAGCGAGCGACACCTTTGCAGACTGAGATTTAGATCCCTCAGATGAACGAACAAATGGAGTTCCAGGAGGAGTCAGAAGCCTAATGAGAGAAGAAGTTATTATAACTAGAGACACAGATTTTCAAATACTGATTCTCAATTGAGTGAGAAATTGCCCAGAAAATGTGTCCAAATGATTCATTCGATCACTAAAGCAACTAAAGTTTACATATTAGAACTTAGGGTCTAAATATTCAACAAAGAAACACATGACTAGTAATTGTAGCAATGGCATACCAGTCGTAGTCATGCTTTCCTCCATCTGCAGATGAAAGTAGATCATCAGGCCCATCCTTAACGTTTGCTGATCCAAGTGATAGTCTTCCCGGTTTTACTGAAAATTCAAAACCAAAATCCGAACATCAAACTTACTAACAACTGCACGCTTCTAACCCACAAACTGATCTAATGATGGTAAGAAAGCAAACGGAGAAGCAAAAAAAGTAAAATGTCAGTACCATCGGGGGAGGCTAAGGAGAGGCTGCCGGTGTTCTTTGAGAGGAGATCTAAATTATTGTCGCAACCGTTCAAACTTAGACGACGACGGTGATGATTTGACGCCGCCGAAATGTTAGTATTATTGTTGTTTTCCATGGTCAGAGGTTGAGACTCCCTTGGATTACCCTTATTCATCATTATGCTTAGCAATTGCCTGTCTCAATTAATGAAATTAAATGCAACATTCCTTCCATCTAAAAAGAAAGAGGAAGAGAAGAGTGGTATAAACAGCTCCAGATCAACCGCCAAACAACTAACGCTAAGCAAAGACGTTTACTCCCAATTCCCCATCCGTCGGTCACTATATGTGTTTAGTTGTTTCATTTTTCGTTTTTTTTTTTCTGTTATTTTATCTAATTGAGTAACTAATCTATTAAATATGAAATAAATTAAAAAATAATCAATAACAAGATGGCAAATTACCCTTATTCACATCACATTTTGTTTCGAAAATCAACAATCAAATATTTTTTAACGATATATTGTTTTATTATCATATGGTATACAACCAATCATCTCAGTCTCACAACAAAATTACATCATGTTGCTTATTTCACGATACAAAAAATAGTTTATTTTTTATTTTTTTAACTTGAATAATAATAATAATGTCTATTTTGCTAAAATTATTTTTATTTTTATACATAAAGAAATTTAATATTCATTTTAATACTTCCATATAATATTATTAATATTATAAATTTAATTTTTACATGATATAATTTATATAATATATTAAATTAAGATAATAAACAAATTATAAATATAAAACGAGTCAGGTTAAATAACATTTAAGTCTTAAATGTTGGAGTTCAAGTTTAACCCATTTTAAAAAGAATTTAAATTTTTATCTTTTTTTCAAGTTTAAAGTATTTTTATTCCAATCTTCTTAAATTTCATATGAATCTTTATATTTTAATCAATAATCAACCCTTTGAGTCGAAATTAATACACTATATGTGTGTATGTATATGTATATTGATGTGGATAAGAAAAAGAAGTGCATGATAGAACTGCATGAATAGTCATCCACTAGTTGTTTAATTACAATGGTCATATATTTACTCTAAAATCTGAAAATTTTTAGGGTTATATATACAAATGGTCCCTCGATTATAGAAAACTGTTCTGTTAAGTCATTCGACTATTAAAAGTTAAAAAATTGTCATCCGACTATAGATAGTTGCTTTGTTGAATCCTCAACTATTAAAAGTTATAAAATGGTCACATGACTATTCATTATGCTCCACATTCATTAAAAAATTAATGGTTGTTTGAACTTACATTAACATTATGAATGAGACATGATAGTCATTTGAGATTATGAGAACATATTTTATCACATCTCAAACAACAAGTTAACATCCAACTCAAATTTTCGTTAATTTTTTAACAAAAAATAACGAGTTTGGAACATAATGAATAGCCGAGTGACTGTTTTGTAACTTTTAATAGTCGAATGACTCAACAAATCAATTTCTTATAGTTGAGGGACCATTTTATGACTTTTAATAGTCATAGACTCAACAAAGCAACATTCTATAGTAAGAGGACCATTAATGTACTTTACCTATTATTTATTTATTTTATTAATTACAATCCTTAAAATTTAAAATTCATTATATAAATAAAATTTAAATTATTAATATATATATAT